AGCACGAGCAGGAGCTTGAGAATGAGAGTGTCCTCCTAATCGTAGCCGTTTTGAAATTGTCCAATTTTGAAGGTCGCAATGGATGGGACTTCCTCGAAAGGATCCAGTTTTTTTGGGTTGCGTTCAAAATTTCGAAACCCATAATGTCGAAATTTAAATAAACGAACTCCCGGTCCCCCGAATCCTAGGTAAAAAATGTCGAGATCCTGAATTTCGACCACATGAAATTTCGAAATTATGAATTTCGACACAAGTTTCGACATTATGATGGCAAATCCTCTATAAAGTTTTACCGTTGATTTAATCCGGCCTGATGCAAGCATTTCAGCGTTTGATCACGGGACTGAAAGTCGACCGTCGCCAGCACGAGGTGGTAGATGGCGAGCGGGACGCGGAAGTTCAGCTGACTCTTCTTGTTGTGCGCCTTCCACTCGAATTCTTGCCTGAAAAAAGCTGCGATTAACCAACTTCGGTTCTCTCGCATTATCGGGGGAGGAAGGAAAATTTTTCCTAGGAACCAAGTTTTTAAATATAAATAGCGGAAGAAGAAGAACTATTTTTTTTACTATTCTTAAACAAGAAAAACTTTACAAAATTTTAATACAAAGTACAAGAAATAAATACGAACTATACAAAAAAAATGTGTTTCTCCCCGATAATGCGAAAGAACCCCAGTTTTACCTGTAATAAGACTTCTGAGAGATTTTGTAGGAGTCGGCCTTGGCTATCGCCCTCACGGCATGGTCATTCGAGGGGTGGTGGATGCGCAGCGCTTCCGGATCCTCGGTATCGGTCAGCTCGTCGGCCAGGCAGGGTCGGACACGCGGCAGCGGGCGGGGCGGGGAGTCGGGCGGCTCGGGCGACGATTCGGGCGTGCCTCGGTCTTCCACGGAGAGAGGGGCGATATTTGTGGCCTGGAATTGATGTGGTAATAAAGAAAAAGGGGCCCTTTCGCATTATTGGGGGGGTACTTTTTATAAAACTAGAAATGCCTAGTGATTGATTAGAAAGTAATTATTGGTATAGTATAGTCCAATAAAGCTAAATTCAACTAGAAAACACTCTAAAACCAACATATTGGTCAAGAAATCGCCATTTTTGTATAAAATCGATATATTTTGCAGTTTTCGATAAAAGTTGAAAGTTTTACGCTTAGCAATTGTAAAAAAGACAGCTTAGAAACCCATCCGCGTTTTATACTTGCAAAATTCGATCCTAAGAAGAAAAATTAGTCCCCCCCCCCGATAATGCCCAAGAACCGAAAAGTAACCATTATCGAACAATTTATAAAAATCTTTAAAGGGATAGGGGCGGCATAAGACAATCGATTACGCGCGGGAAAGAAATGTCTGCGCCCCCCTGGGCCACCGCCGCCGGTCGCCTGGGACCTGTTGAACCCCCTCCCCAAGGGGGTCAACAGTGCCACTTTAAAGAGCTGACCCTCCTGATGCACGCGTCCCTAGGCTTCTCCCACAATATCTCGGGCTCTTCCTCCTCCTCATCTTCGTCCTCATCGTCGCTGCTGAGCGTAATGCAGATCGTCTCCTCCCTGCGACCCGTCCGTAGCACCGGCAGAGATGGCTTCAATTCTACGTCGACTTTGATCTAAGATACAGATTACTCATTATTCATTATCAGATTACTCCACGTACGTCTACTTCTTCTTCGTCTTCTTCATCTTCCTCATCTTCGTCGCTGCAACTGGAGACAGACGGCGTCACCAGCCTGCCATTCTTCGCCGGCGAACGCTAAAAAATTCGATAAAGGTACAAAAATTGCTCCTACAGATCCATTGGCGACTTTTTTGGGCGGAAGCGGCGGCGGCTTGCGTACTTTCGTAGCTTTGGCAGTTCCGTTGGCCTTGCGTGCAGCCTGAAAAAAAAAACATTTAGAACGACCTTGATAAACTGTTACCATTCTTGAATTTCCCATACTTCCAAAACATCTAATAACGTCTAGTAACTGTTTGAATATCGTTTTTGGTAACATTCAACTAGATTTTAACTAGAAAAGCTATCTAAAAACTATCAAAACAAGTTTCAAAGAGTCGAAAATTTGGTCAAAAAGTTGCCATTTTTCGCGAAAATCGATATTTTTTGTAAAATCGGTCTCCCCCAATAATGATTCTGAGATTCCACGTACGTGTACTTCTTCTTCGTCTTCTTCTTCATCATCATCTTCGTCGCTGCAACTGGAGGAAGATGGCGCCGCCAGCCTGCCATTCTTCGCCGGTGAACCCTAAAAAATTCTATAAAGTTATAGAAATCACACCTACAGTTACATTTGCGACTTTCTTGGGCGGCAGCGGAGGCGGCTTGCGTACTGTCGTAGCTTTCGCGGTTCCGTTCGATTTTGATGCCGCCTCAAAAACACCTTTAAAGTCGCCTCGAAAAAATCTTTACCTTCACTGGCGCCTGGTCACCCGCTGCTCCATTGGGCGCCGGCGGCTGGCTTTTGTCCTGGAAATTAGGTTTTTTAAACCAAATTTAAATATAAAAATCGTTATATTTGTAGCTTTTGCGTTTTGGTGCGTAAAAACAGCTTAGAAACACTTTCCCTCCATCTATACGAGCAAAAATTCAATTCTTAGACACAAAGTTTGGCCCCCACAAATGGTGACGAACCTTTTTGGGCGGCAATGGCGGGGGCTTTCTTATTGTATGCCGCGTCTGGGCGCTCGGCAAGGGCCCCGGACCTGCTGGCGGAAGTAGCGAGTGACTTTTGTTCTAAAAAAATCGAAATCCGTCAAGAGCACCGAACTCACCTTTATCGGCGGTAACGGCGGCGGTATCCGCTTTTGTGGAGGACCTGGAATCATTGGCGACGGCGTCTTCGCGGAGTTCGGCTAAAAAGAAGATTTTTTGCAATAACAGCTGAAAAAGCCGGAGCTTTCGCATTATCAGGGGGGATCGATAAGGAAACCGAATTTTCTTCTAGCAGTCAAGAAATCCCTTAGAAGGTAATAGTCAGTGTTTTTATAGCGTTTTTCGCTAGGTTTAACTTTACTATTGCAACTGGAAATCATCTCCAAAGCAGTAAAAATCTTAAAATGAAAGAAACACGATTAGTCAATGCCAGTAGCATCAAGGATTTTTTAATAGTAAAATCTAACCATATTTTACTTAGAAAACTATCGAAAAACTTCTTTAAAAAGTCGAAATTTTGGTCGAAAATTAGCCATTTTTGGTCGATAAATCAATTTTTTTTTATGTTTGACAAAGAAAATTTGTAAAGTTTTTGGGTGTAGGACTGGTAAAAAACAGTTAAAAAAAAAAGGTTCCTCCATTTATATAAGAAGGAACGGATTCTTAGAAGAAAACCCCCTCTCCCGATAAAGCGAAAGAGCCAAAAAGCCATACCTGAAACCCAGAATCTTGCTGCATTGGTACACCGTCACTTCGCCTTTTCCGCCCGTCCGCGCCCGATGCACTTGGCGAAGAGGACTAAAACAAGTACAGCAACGTGAGAACACATACATGATGCCGGCGCTGCTCGCCATTCCCTTGCACGCCGGGCTCTCTCATCAGAAAAAAATGGGCTGAAAGCAGGTTAGAGCTCGATTTCGACAAACACGGCATGAATTGTGCAAAAAAAATGAGATTTATTCAAGTTTGATGGCCATAAGGGCGCTACAAAAAACCTTGCCGGGAAAATTTACTTTTATGGTCCCCGTCCGAAAAGGGGTTTTTCGTGTCGGAATCGATAGAGAACTGTTCGAAATGTGGTTTACAGTCGAAAAAAGGTCGGAAAGATGTTTTTAATAGGAGATCTGCAGTTTTTTACGAAAATTTGAGGACCATAAAATGGGGTAAGGGGGACTGAAGTTTATGGTCCTCGGCCGAAAACAAATTTTTCTTGTCGGAAACTATCCAGAAATGTTCAAAATATCGTTTGCAGTTCAAAAAAATCGTCGGACAGAAATTTTTTTGGGAGAAAATCGGTTTTTTCACGAAAATTTGAGGACCATAAATGGGGGTACGGGGGACTCAAGTTTATGGTCCTCACCTGAAAAACGTTTTTTTTCTTTTACTAACTCAATTGATTATCGTTGGAAATGCATACTAAATCGAAAAAAAGTGCCGGAAAGATGTTCTTGGTCCCCTCAGGCTTCTGAACAGCGTGCGGTACGTAGCATTGTCAGGCAAGGCGGGCCGTCGCTTCGGATGGGCTGCCGCTCCACTCTTCCGAAATCGAGGCGCCTGGGCGCTGCGCGCTGCTCGGGCGCCCCGATTTCGAAACACTGTACGAGCTCGCACCCATCCGAAGCGACTAGGTCCCGGGTGTCACGATGCCTTATTTTTAGGCTAAAACTGGGCTGAATGAATTTTTGTACAAAAATTTTTTTGAAGCTAATAAAGGTTTTTCCGACGTTTTTTTTGAACTGCAAACGATATTTTGAACATTTCTGGATAGTTTCCGACAAAAAAAAAATTGGTTTTCGGCCGAGGACCATAAACTTCAGTCCCCCGTCCCCATTTTATCTCCTCAAATTTTCGTAAAAAACTGCTTATTTCCTATTAAGAACATCTTTCCGACCCTTTTTTTCGACTGTAAACCACATTTCGAACAGTTCTCTATCGATTCCGACACGAAAAACCACTTTTTGGACGGGGGCCATAAAAGTAAATCAAGCCAATTTCACGATTTTGAACTATAGAAACTTGATTGAAGGCGAAAGAACTGAACTTTAAACGTTAAAGTACAAAATGCAAAAAGCCACAGGTCGCCAAGAAGCGTGAAAAAACGTTTCCGGCCTCGACTTTTTGTCTTTTTGGCTCTCGAAAATACTTGGTTTTATCTTAAAGCGAATAAAAAGATTTTTGGAAAGGAGTTTTTAGTATTTGGTCTGGATTCCGAAAGACTCCACTGAACATCTGCACCCTGTTACCTGGCGACAGTTCAACAGCCCCGCATTTTCTTTTTCGATCATTTTGCAAATAATTTCAAGTTGTTGGTTTGGTATTGTTTTTAATATTATCTGTTATAACTGTCTTTTTAGAATGTCCGTCGACCAGAAAAAACTTGGGCGCAAACGGCCGGCGGCGGCTCGCGTCTCGCGCAGCAAGAAGCAATACTGGCGAAAAGGGGCTGATGTGACAGATGTCGAAGAGGCCATCGCTCAATTGCAGCATCGTGAGTGGAAAAATGTTTTTACAAGGTTTGCGTTTTAGAAAAAGAAATGGGCGGCATCGTAGCCGACAAGGCTGACGACGAGCTCTTCCAGATCGACAGGGTAATTCGAGATTTTATTTGGGTGGAAATCTCTATTTTAGGCCCCAGGCGAAAAGGAAAAGCCGAAGAAATTCACTCACCGCCAGCAGGCCGCTTTAAGCAAAATCTCCGCGCTCGCCGACGGGTAACCTGCATGTTTCCGTTTTAAAATTCGTCTTTTAGAGCTGAAGAGCCAAAGCTACCCACATTTCCGAAGAAATACAAGCTGAAGGTCGACAAGTTGCCCCGGCCCCAAGTGAAGGTAGTTTGTGCTGATAACGCGTCATATCCGTTTTTAGGTGAACAAAGCGGCGAAAAAGGAGAAGCAGCCGAGCAAATTTGATCTCTGGGAAACAAGTATTGCCTTTTGGAATAGTGATTTACGTGTTTAGACCTGAACTCGACGCTGGTCGAGACGGTGCACGAGGCGGCCAAAGATGGAGCCCATTTCTACCTTAAGCAGACGAAGAAAGTGCAATCCAAAGTGGTACTAGGCGTTTTCTTGAAAATAAGCTGATTTCTAGCCTGACACGCTGCGGCTGAAGCCCTCATTGTTGAAGGCCGTCGAGATTCCGGATGCCGGCGCCTCGTATAATCCCGAGCTGGGCGAGTATATTGTAGGTTTTGTTTTATTAGTTAAAATTTTCGGGTTCTTTCGCATTATCGGGGGGAGGAAACTAAATGTTTTCTTAGGATCCGATTTTTTCAATATAAATGTTTCTAAGCTTTTTTTACTATTCGTGATCCTAAAAACTTCACAATTTTCTTTTTGCAAAAATACAACAAGAAAAAAACACAGATTTTCCGACCAAAAATGGCGGTTTTTCGTGAAACTTTCTGTAATTTTTTAAAAGTTTAGGGATAGTTTTGCTAGTCAAATATACATTGCTCCACATAATGATAGGTCCACCCGCCAAAATTGGGAAATTAAAATTTTTAGGTACTTTTATAAAAAGGCAACAATATCAGCGTAGGGTAAAAGGTATTGCAAAAATATACCACAAGAGCCAATGCCGATAAATGGTTAGATAAAATCATTAGCCAGAAAAACATGAAAAACCCATTTTGGCGACTCCACATAATCTTAGGTCCACCTAGCTTTACGAAAGAACGCGTGGGCCCAGAGTGCTTAATCGAAGTTCTTTTGCTTAATCAGACCCCCAGCTACTCATTGAAACGAAAAAATTTGGTTGCCAAGCTCTGGGACGATTTTTGAAAAATCGGATTTTAACAAAGAAATTTGGTTTTTTAATTCTAAAAAACCAAAAACCAATTCCCTTCGATTCAATGACCAAGTACGAAGTAGCACTACAAAAGGCGGTCAGTTTCTTATGCCTAAACACCCGCAAAATAATCAGCTAAGCTTATTGAAACGCCTCCGAAGGTCCTACCATGGCTGGCGTACGCCGGGTTAATGCATTTAACAGCATCCAGACTTTGTCCGATTCTCATAAACTTGGGGATCAAAATTTCAAGGGTTTCAGGATACAGAAATGACCGCAATTAGAAGCTCTTTCAGCTACGGTAGTCAAATCTCGGCTCTAACGCCGCTTTTCGCTTTTTTAGAATTAAAAAACCAAATTTCTTTGTTAAAATCCGATTTTTCAAAAATCGTCCCAGAGCTTGGCAACCAAATTTTTTCGTTTCAATGAGTAGCTGGGGGTCTGATTAAGCAAAAGAACTTCGATTAAGCACTCTGGGCCCACGCGTTCTTTCGTAAAGCTAGGTGGACCTAAGATTATGTGGAGTCGCCAAAATGGGTTTTTCATGTTTTTCTGGCTAATGATTTTATCTAACCATTTATCGGCATTGGCTCTTGTGGTATATTTTTGCAATACCTTTTACCCTACGCTGATATTGTTGCCTTTTTATAAAAGTACCTAAAAATTTTAACTTCCCAATTTTGGGGGGGTGGACCTATCATTATGTGGAGCACTGTAGGATTCGTTTACTAAAAACGTTATGAAAATGCTTCATATTAAGTTACTAGGTTGCTAGACTTATAAAAGAAAAAAATTTGCCCTCCCCCCCTCCCCCCGATAACGCGAAAGGACCGATGATTCATTTAGGAATACGTCTCAGCGATTGCCGAAGACGAGAAGAAAATTATGAAGAAAGAAGCGCGATCGGAGCGCAGCCGGCAATTGGCGCCCGGAGAGTCGAAGGTTACCCATGTAATAGATTCAATGGAAGTTGCCATTACCAATTTTTCGTAGGCGGACTTGCTGAAAGAGGCGCTGTCTGGGTTGATCGATGACGACGTCGACGACAAGGAGATTAAGACGGAAGACGAGGCGGAAATTGGTTTGTTTACATTTTTTTTTGTAAATTTGAAATTGCTGCAGAATCTTTCCTGACGGGCCCTGTTGAGGTCAACCCGAAGACGTCGAAACAACGCAAGACTGAGCAGCGCGTGAAGGCGCTCGAGCGCAAGCGCCAGCAACTGAAGCTCAAAAAGAACAAGGAGGAGGAGAGCAAGATTTTCAGGTATATTTTTGGGGGATTGGTACCGAATGGGGGTTTCACCTCTGAGAGAAGTTTTATACGTTTTGCTAAAAAGTCAATTACTAAATGTAAAATTTGATCTATGTCTTCCCAATTTTATATTTATGCCTGAAATTCAAAGTCCATTTCCCAAACAAGGAATTTTAGGTCGAAAAAGATGCTCAAGCAGCTGCAGCTCGAAAAGGACGCACACGAGAAGGAGCTCCAGCAACGCAACGAGAAGAAGGTAATTTTTGCCCGGCAAAATTATGATTATTTCAAGTTTTTATGATATATATACTTCCAGAAATTCGACGATATGACGAAGCGGAAAAAGCTGGGCGCCGGCAAGTTCGAGGAGGAGGACGCACCATTCTTGTTGACGGAAGAGATGTCGGGCTCGCTGCGCAAGCTGAAGCCGCAGGGCAATTTGCTGCTCGACCGGATGAAGAGTTTGCAGGTACATTTCGAAGATTAGCAATTTTAGCCCATTTTCAGAAGCGCAACATTGTGCCGATCGCCGGCGAGAAGAACAGCCGCCGTCTGAAGCAGCGACTGCGTTTCAAGGCCAAGGAGTCGCGCTCGCATCAAGAGGTGAAGATCGGCACGAAGATGCGCTAAGCAACCACCCATCTATGTTATCACCATTCGTGTTGTCATTTGTTGGATTGTTCACGTTGTTGCGAGTCGTTGTTTTTTGTTACTTTCTTTCTTTATTCATCTTTCGTATAAACTTTTCGAAAAATCGGTTTTTGACGGCGACAATTGCAAAAGAATTTATTTGTTTGCACAAAAAGCACATTTCCAAGCACCGCGTGTTTACCTTGAGATCAGCAAAATGGACCCAGAATTGACGTAAAAATATATATAGAATAAAATACAATGAATAAGTGGATAGATTCCTAAAAAGTGCTCAAATTTCGACAAATCCCGCAGCCGATCGCAAACTCCTCGCCGGTGGCTGGGTGCTCAAGTCTAAAGTATTGGTTTTTCTGCTTTTTTTGAATTTGCTTAGATACTGTATTTTGTAGAGTTTTCGATGCTCTTTCAGCCCCACGAAACAAAATCAGAAAAATGCCGTACTTCAGCGGGCATCCGGCGGCGTCTTCGAGCTGGGTGGCGCGCGGACCTGCCGGGCATTTGGGCAGCAGATGTTTTGGCAACGAGACGAGCCGCTGAATGGCCAATTGGATTATGAATTTATTGATCGTATTATTTTACAAAAAAAAGAAGATTTTTTGGTGGTTCTAGGGTTTTCAGAACTTTTTAATCGATCAAGTTCGTTACCTGAAAATCGTCGTGGCACGACGCGCAAAAGTGGGTGGTGCCGAAGCTGAAAAAAAGGAGAATTTTTGTCGAAATTTCTGGAAAATCGGATAGAATACAGGGTGTAGTTTGCAGTCTACAACCGCTAGCTAATAACCACCCACCAAAAATACACGGCAATCGAGCAGCAGTACCGGCATTTGTACTCGAGGTACTCGACGCCGTGCCGACCGCAAATCTGTAAAAAAGGGGCCATTTTAAATGGTTTAAAAAGCATAAAGTTATACTGAAAGCTTAAAATTTCAAACCTGGGCCCCGGTGACGTCCGAACAGCCGCCGCAGATCAGCTCGGCCGGGTTGTACTGCGACGAGTCGAGCGGCTGGAAAACGGAAAATTAATCGTTTAATAAATAAATGAATAAATAGGCTTCGGCTTATTAGGCTTACCAGCTGGCATCGGCTTTCCCCTCCGAAATACGCCTTTGAACACTTGTGACATTGTACGTACACGTAGCGCTCCATCGCGTACGCTTCGGGCTGGTTGTAGAATTCGCTAAAATATACGCTCTCTCTTTGTCTCTGTCTGTCGGTCTCTGTCTCTGTCTCTGTCTCTCTCTCTCTCTCTATCTCTCTCTCTCTCTCTCTCTCTCCCACTCTCTCTCTCTCTCTATCTCTCTCTCTCTCCCACTCTCTCTATCTCGCTAACGCTTTCTCTCTTTCTCTTGCTATTTCTGTCTCTCTCGATCTCTCTCTCTCACACTCTCTCTATCTCTCTCTAACGCTCTCTCTCTCTCGCTCGCTCCTCCTCTCTCTTACCTATTCGGCGAGACAACCGCCTGGCAGTCCATCATCCCGTCGTATTCAAGCCGTAATTTGGATTTTTGGAGCACTTCCGTTTTTAGGGCTTTCAACGGCTCAATCAGGTCTCGGATTCCGGGGTGCTCCATCTGAAATTCAGCTTTATTTCATTTGCAATATAAATTTTTCGACCCCTCCCCCGCTAATAGGCTAGTACTGGTCTCTAATACCACAAATGGTCTCTGCTAGCCTGCCCAAAATCCCGCTCCTCACCTCCCCATTGCATAGCGGGCAATTCATGAAGCGGAAGAGGATGCGGGGCCCGTTCCACCGCTTCTCGAGCACGGCCCGCACGCAGGCGTAGTGGAAGATGTGGCCGCACTAATGGTAGAGATGCTTGGGTGGTAATGAAGGTAAGATACCTCTATTTTGATGCACGGAGCGGCGCCTAGACGGTCGGTGAAGCAGATGACGCACACGTCATCGCCATCCTGGGAAGTTCCTGAATTAATCGGTACCAGGGTTGAAAAGCCGCTTCGCGACTTTTCAACCCTGGCCCCGTCTGATCCGATGATATTCTTCCCTTTGCATAATTCTCACGAATTCCCTTGTCAAAAAAAATTAAAACAGCCCCCTCTCTCGCATCACTTAGGCTACTTCCACTTCCGGTGTATGTTAATTGGTTCCTAACAAAGAGGATCTCCGATTTTTCATGAAAAACTGAATTTAAATGTCGAAAACAGCTTATTTTCTAAATTCTGATATGTGTGCAGACATCGCGGGGCCATTATGCACCTAATGACATATCAAACGTACCCATCCCTTCTTCCCCTATCGAGATACGACTGGAACATAGGGACGGAAGTTGCATGCAAATGCACACACACACACAGACACTATTTTTTTATATATAGTAGGATAGGATAAAAGGGGTTTGGGCTTAGGCTTAGGCTTAGGTTTTGGCTTAGGCTTAGGCTTAGGCTTAGGCTTAGGCTTAGGCTTAGGCTTAGGCTTAGGCTTAGGCTTAGGCTTAGGCTTAGGCTTAGGCTTAGGCTTACCTTCACGTGGACACTGCATACATTCCAGACATGATTCCTCGCCGGCGATTCCGCAACAACTAGAAAAAGCTGTATAAGAGGCCAGAGAGCGAGAGAGAGAGAGAGAGAGAGAGAGAGAGAGAGGAGAGAAAGAGTGAGAAAGAGAGACCGAGCGCGAGAGAACCTTGACTTCACCGACCCTTTAAAACCCACCGATGGCCACAGGGCAGCGATTTCTGGCAGGCGATCCGGTTGAACTCTTGGCACTCGGTGTGGCCGCAGACACCTTCTAGCACCTAGAAAATTTTCAATCATCTCTGCTAGCCTGCCCTCTCCTCTTCCTCAACAATCTCTGCTAGCCTGCCCTCTCCTCTTCCTCAACAATCTCTGCTAGCCTGCCCTCTCCTCTTCCTCAACAATCTCTGCTAGCCTGCCCTCTCCTCTTCCTCAACAATCTCTGCTAGCCTGCCCTCTCCTCTTCCTCAACAATCTCTGCTAGCCTGCCCTCTCCTCTTCCTCAACAATCTCTGCTAGCCTGCCCACCTGGGTCTCTCCGCTGAGTGGCGCCTCGCAGAAGCGGCACTTGTTTGAGGGTAGATGCGTAGATGATGATGGATTCTGGGAGGCCAGCGGACGATTGTGGAAAGAAGAGCCGGTGGGGAACAATGGATCAACGCTCAACTCAACCAAGCCGTTCAGGGTTTGGCCGTGGAAGAGTACCTATAATAATGTGTGTGAAGCCAGAGAGAGATGAGAGAGAGAGTGAGAGAGAGAGAGAGTGAGAGAGAATAAGATAGTACTCACCAGCATATTCGGAAGCCTAAGCCTGGAGCATCCGTCGTGTATCTCCACCTGTGGAGCGGAATTCGACGATCCGAGCAGCCGCACCTAAAATATCCATTAAAGCTTTGAGATGTCTACCATACCTCATGACTGCGGTTCTTCTTGTTGAGGTGAAGGATGGAGAAGCAGTCCCTGCATAGATTGCTGCGACACACCTCGCAGTGCACCTGGGCCAGTGTCCGCCCGTCGTCGTGGTTCTCGCAGAACGGCTCCGGGTCGTTGCCCTTTGATGTCTGAAGGTTAAGCCGTGAAAGTTCAAGCCGCCTGAGCCTAAGCCTAAGCCTAAACCTCATCTAAAAGGATCCCCACCTGAATCCCCGCCCACCCCTCGGCCAGCTCCATCCACTCGCGGTGGCGGCAGATGCTCAGCGCTGAGACGGCCAGCCAGAAGCGGCGAGACGAGAGGACGCCATTGCATTGCCAGGAGGAGGATGAGCTGGCGCCTAGAGGATGTTTCTCGCTTTCTCGCTCTCTCTGTTACGCCCTCAAATCCCCAACAATCTCTGCTAACCCTCCCCACCTGCCGATGACGTGATCGAGCTGAAATCCTGGGCCCCAAGGCGAAGAACACCGACGATTGCCTGCGCACACTCTTTCCGGAATGCGTGCGCCCAGCTTTCGGAGAAGTCGCCGCCGCTAAAAAGGAGTATGGACATCCGGCGTCAATCTCTCTCTCTCTCTCTCTCTCTCTCTCTCTCCGCCTCTCCATCTTTTCTTACCAGGCGTCGAGCAGAAATTTGTGCACCAGCCGCCCCATTTCGCCCGACATTGGTCTGTCGATTTTCCAATGCGTTGGTGCGTCGGAGATTTGGGTCTGAAATCCAACCAAGTTTCCGTCAAGGTCTCTGCTAGCCTGCCCTCTCCTCTTCCTCAGCGATCTCTGCTGGCCTGCCCTCTCCTCTTCCTCAACAATTTCTGCTAGCCTGCCCTCTCCTCTTCCTCAACAATCTCTGCTAGCCTGCCCTCTCCTCTTCCTCAACAATCTCTGCTAGCCTGCCCCCTCCTCTTCTTCAACAATCTTTGCTAGCTGACCACTTACTAAAAACTCACATTTAACGTTACGGTATTGACCGAATGCGCCGCTTTATCGCGCACTTGCAACGTAATCACTTTCGCCACACAAACCAGGAAATTGGCCACAAAACGGCTGGTGTCTACCTGAAATTTACAAGTAATTTGGTGCCCTGGCTACGGTAATGGACTCCAGAATTAACGAAAAAAAGCGAAAAAATTAGTTACCTGCGATGGGGAGAAGACGCCCAGCAGCTTTTCTATGGTCTCCAGGATTTGACACTGTACGACCTGAAAAAGTTTTTTTAATGGAATCCCAAATGGTCTCTGCTAGCCTGTCCGGGTTCCTAAAGTTCCCAGCTAGTTAGTCAGCCCAAAAAGACCCTGAAATTCTTCCTCACCTGTGGAGAAAAGAGCAGCAACTCGGAGAGGGTGAGCAGCAGATAGTTGCGGGCAGAAAAGACCTAAAATCGATGGTTGAAAATTTTAAAGAATCTCTGCTAGCCTGCCTGACTTGAATGGTCCTTGGAAAATAAAAAATACCGACCTCTGTGCCTTTTCTCGAGGCGCAGATCCGCGTCAAAATATGCATCAGCCCGCAGGCGTACGAGTAGTTGCGCTTGCCGCGGTCCCGCAGCGATATGACTTCTCTGAAAATGAGGTTGTGCTCACTCGTTCTCTCTCTCTCGCTCTATCTCCTCTCTCACTCTCTCTCCTCTCTCTCACTCTCTCTCCCCCCTCTCTCTCTCTCTCTCTCTCTCTCTCTCTCCCTCTCGCTCACCTTTCCAGCGCATTGGCAATCTGTGTACAAACGTGTGTTTGTAGGGGTTGTAGCTGGACTCGACTGAAATTGTCAAATTGCATTTTGGCGTTAAATCCCATGAAACTAATCGTTCTGTAGCTTGTAGCGGCGGAAAAATCAATAAAATACCTAAACAACAAATCGATAACCCGCTGTCTCAAAGTCCCGTGCTGCTCCTCGGCCATCTCATCGGAAAATGCCTAAAAAGGTTAACCTTTTTTTCCGCAAAGATCTCTGCGAGCCTGCCGCTCCATTTCCTCAACAATCTCTGCTAGCACTCACCTGTGCCGAGAGCGCCTGGAATAAGGAAAACGCGTCATTTTGGGTAGTCGAAAATAGCAGCTGATGCGATTGAGAGGGCTTCAGAAGCTTCGGCGACTCGCCCCGGCTTTGCCGATATCCGGTGAGCAGGACCTGTAAAGTTTTCACTCTCAAATGATCTCTGCTAGCCTGCCCTTTTCGCTTCCCAAACGCTACCTGTCGAATCCTTTGCGCTGGATACGGCCCACGGAGTATGATCTGGGCCTGTTGCGCGCCGAAAACGCACGCCTTCACCCAGCCGACGAATTGCTGAAAAAAAAACCCAAAATGTTAGATTTTAAAGGACCATTGAAGGCTGGAATCTATGGCTCGAGAAACGGAGAAGCTTTAAGCTATAAAACTTCAGAAAGTTTACCACGTCCAGCTGCTGCGTATGCAAATTGCGCTTCGAGCCGTCGGGGAGCATGGCTCGGATTTGGACGGCGTTGGTTCTGAAGCAATAATTTCAAAGGAAAAAACATCCCAACCTGAACATCTCGTCGCGCACGTTGTCGAAGAAGATGGCCAACAGGACGGGCGTGGTGCCGTTGGGGCGGAAGGTGAGCGTCAGGGCTCGTGCTCGATTTTTGTCCTAAACGGGAGGAAATGAAGAGGCTTGGGCCTAGGTTCGGGCTTAGGCTTCGACTTAGGCTTAGGCTCAGGTTTGGGCAAAGACTTAGGTTAGGCTTAGGCTTAGGCTTAGGTTAGCCTTAAGCTTAGGCTTAGGTTAGGCTTAGGCTTAGGCTTAGGTTGGGCTTAGGCTTAGGCTTAGACTTAGGCCTAGGCTTAGGCTTAGATTAGGCTTAGGCTTAGGTTAGGCTTCGGCTTAGGCTTAGGTTAGGCTTAGGCTTAGGCTTAGGTTAGACTTAGGCTTAGGCTTAGGCTTAGGCTTAGGCTTAGGCTTAGATTAGGCTTAGGCTTAGGCTTAGGTTAGGCTTAAGCTTAGGCTTAGGTTAGGCTTAGGCTTAGGCTTAGGTTAGGCTTAGGCTTAGGCTTAGGCTTAGGCTTAGATTAGGCGTAGGCTTACGCTTAGGTTAGGCTTAAGCTTAGGCTTAGGTTAGGCTTAGGCTTAGGCTTAGGTTAGGCTTAAGCTTAGGCTTAGGCTTAGGCTTAGGCTTAGGCTTAGATTAGGCTTAGGCTTAGGCTTAGGTTAGGCTTAGGCTTAGGCTTAGATTAGGCTTAGGCTTAGGCTTAGATTAAGCTTAGGCTTAGGCTTAGGTTAGGTTTAAGCTTAGGCTTAGGTTAGGCTTAGGCTTAGGCTTAGGTTAGGCTTAGGCTTAGGCTTAGGCTTCCCTACCTCTTCTCCACATTCCCAAAACGTCTCCGGGCTGCCGTCGGTCAGGCAGACGACCATCGCTTGCCGAGATGAGGCTTCGATGTCGCACTCCAGGCTCAGCTAAAGGACAGAAAATAGTTCATAATTTTTAAATATGAATAATTACTATTTTTGAAAATATCCGCTTTAAAAACTCACGTCCACCATGTGTCGAACGTCTCCAGTTTTTTGGGTCTCCGGCGCCCTGAAAGGAATGAATTAAAGAAGCCTTTAAAAACGTTGTAAGCATAGTAAGCTCGTAAAAAATTTGCAAGTCCGAAGCTTAGCCTAGGCTTGATAGGTTAGCCACCCACCTTTCCACCAATGAATTTCCCAGATTCGAGTCCGACGGGCTGTCGAAGAAGATTTGATCGGCCGACGGGTCGGATAGCACTCGGCCGACTGACGCCAAGATCGAGCAGGTCAACGTGAGAAGGTCCTGAAAATCGAACTCGACATTCCTCAAAAATCTCTGCTGGCATACACTAAATTTGCATTTCAAGTTTGCAAAATAGATAGAAGCTCGTCAAAAATTCCATTCTCTTTTTTCTATCTCACTCGCCCGGCTATCCCTCTTTATTTTTAGAATGGAATCTACAATTCTAAAATGTGGGTGGTAAATTGAGGTTTCAGAAAAGGCAGGCTAGCAGAGATTGTTGAGGAAGAGGAGAGGGCAGGCTAGCAGAGATTGTTGAGGAAGAGGAGAGGGCAGGCTAGCAGAGATTGTTGAGGAAGAGGAGAGGGCAGGCTAGCAGAGATTGTTGAGGAAGTGGAGAGGGCAGGTTAGCAGAGATGCCCAGGGAATTTTTACACTCTTTATAATCTATTTCCAGTCAGCGTAATTGCGTTCGGCATCGAGATTCTGTTAATGCTCGGCGGCTTCATATCCCTGTGCTGCTATTATCGGTTCAACGAGAAGTTAAATGCAATGTTTTACAACCGGGTACGGTATTTTGGGCGCATTTTAACGAGGGGCAGACTAGCAGCGGTCGTTGAGGTAAGCATATTGATTTTTTTCAGTTGAAGCAAGTGGAAAAGGAGTGCAAGTGGAAGCTGGACGCGTACGACAAATTAATCCAGGTATTTTTTCGCAATTTTCGCAGTTCTACAGTATTTTTGGAGATAGAGTCTTGTCCAGAATTTTTTGTTCAAGCGCTTGGTATGTACCTTTTAGAAGGAAAAACCGGGGGTATCGGTAAAAGGGCCCGGAACGACGGCGACCGCCCCCAAGACGCCGGCGCCCCAGACCGTCCCGGCCCCGTCGGTTGGTGGGGAGATGAACATGGATGACGAGATTGACAAGCTGCTCGAGTGGGGATTTACAAATGAGCTCAGCTAGCCGGCCCTCTCCTCTTCCTCAACAATCTCTGCTAGCCTGCCCTCTCCTCTTCCTCAACAATCTCTGCTAGCCTGCCCTCTCCTCTTCCTCAACAATCTCTGCTAGCCTGCCCTCTCCTCTTCCTCAACAATCTCTGCTAGCCTGCCCTCTCCTCTTCCTCAACAATTTCTGCTAGCCTGCCCTCTCCTCTTCCTCAACAATCTCTGCTAGCCTGCCCTCTCCTCTTCCTCAACAATCTCTGCTAGCCTGCCCTCTCCTCTTCCTCAACAATCTCTGCTAGCCTCTCCTCTCCACTTCTTCAACAATCTCTACTAGCTTGCCCCATTTTCAGCGAAAAAAGCGAGTCCAAAGCGAATCGAGGGGACCGCGGTGTGCGGGACGACAAGCGCCGAGAGGGAGAGTACGTTACATTCCGGGAATCGATTACGGCATGATATTTGTTTAGCCCCCGCATGTTCATCCAGGAGATGCCGCAGTCGAGGTGCAAATCTTAGAACCCTAAGAAAGTGCGTTTTTTAGGGAGCCGCTCCCACCCGAGTCGAAGAAGGGCGGCAAAGCGTAGGATTAAGATCTTTCCTAAAGTATCGCTGCTAGCCTGCCCGAATTATTATATCGGTATTTTGGGGCGTGGTCCATTAACGCGAGGGACGTCTAACTATGGCTACCCAGCATCCCCCGTTAACACATAAGCGCCCACATTTTCAGCAAGTGCTCCACCGACAACAGCAGGGATACGAATCTGACCAAGTGAGCTTTGGATCGGCGAGAGAGGGGACGAGAGAGAGAGAGAGAGAGAGAGAGAGAGAGAGAGAGAATTTTCTTTGATCGATTCGATCCGAAATTTGCAGCGACCCAACCGCGCCCCGGCCCAAGAGCAAAGACACCAAGGAGACGAGGACCAAGGACAAGACGGAGAAGCTGAAGCCCCCACCAGCCAAGTCGGCTCGAGCGCCCGCCGCACCCACTCTGCGCAAGACGGCCGCGGCGGCCGCAGCCGCCGCTGCAGGAACCCCCACTCCGCCGGTTTCTGGGTGAGCACTTGCGCAACGGTCTCTGCTAGCCCGCTATCGCAACGATTTCTTGAAGCCTTTTGATGTTTACTGTTTGTGTTTCAGACGCCAACGAGCACCATCCTTACAGGCACAGGCGACAATGAATAAGTAAGAAATATTGAAGCTAGAATTTGGTTGCGTTTTTAGTAGTCACAAAGAAACCGTGGTGACGCCGCTGCGACTATCGAAGGAGAAAGCGGTAAGATTTTTGTCGTATTTTGGGGAGGCAGGCTAGCAGAGATTGTTGAGGAAGAGGAGAGGGCAGGCTAGCAGAGATTGTTGAGGAAGAGGAGAGGGCAGGCTAGCAGAGATTGTTGAGGAAGAGGAGAGGGGCAGGCTAGCAGAGATTGTTGAGGAAGAGGAGAGGGCAGGCTAGCAGAGATTGTTGAGGAAGAGGGGAGGGCAGGCTAGCAGAAATTGTTGAGGAAGAGGAGAGGGCAGGCTAGCAGAAATTGTTGAGGAAGAGGAGAGGGCAGGCTAGCAGAAATTGTTGAGGAAGAGGGGAGGGCAGGCTGAACCGAGAAGTCAATTTCCAGGGCGACGAGGTGACGCAGTTCACGGTGGAGATGACATGCGAAGACGGCTCGGATCGGGCGGCCGTTTAACAGACCGGCCAGGCGGGCTACGCGACGCTACGCTACGCAACCACTCGAACACCCGCCCAAGCACCGTTTTTGCACGAATAAACGCTTTTTCAATGCACTGTTTTTGCTTAAAATTTCCCACCTGTTCGTGGGCAGTCAGCTGGATGGTCCACGCCTTAAAGCAGAGGCTCCTGGAAAAGCAGGAAATTGAATTATACGAAAAATTTACCGTAACCCGGGGTCCACTCCGGACGACTGCAAAATGACGGCGATCGTGTAGAGGAAGGCATGGAGTTGCTGCACCATTTTTACGGCGATCGGGCCTAAAAGGGATTCTGCTAATCTCTCTCTCTCTCTCTCTCTCTCTCTCTCTCTCTCTCTCTCTCTCTCTCTCTCTCTCTCTCTTTCTCTCTCTCTCTCCCTCTCTCTCCCTCTCTCTCGCTCTCCTCTATAGTCAGCTCGTGCTCTCTCTCTCTCACCTGCCAAAAAGCACAGCCGCCAAGGGTGAGGCAACAATTTCACCGGGGCGCGCGTCGACGGATCAACCAGCGCCGAGTACGAGGATAACGAGCAGAGATACTGCAGCACCACGTCCGAAACGCTAAAAGTGAACATTGCTGTAGATGAACAACCGCCGGACCTTGTTTCCGACGAGACGAGCCGCAGCAACCAGTTCCACACCCGGAACGCATGCGCGAACCCCACCGCCCGCTTCACCGCCGAGAAGGACGCCTCCCGCACCCTGGAATCATACAGTAATTCTGCAAGTCTGCAGCCAGGCTGAACCTCTTCAAGTCGTGGTGCTCGATGATGAACGCCATCACCGGGCGGCGCACTAATGGCTGACGGCTGGGCGAACAGCTCGAAGATGTGGAGACGAGGGAGACGAGGGCGGCTGAGGGGGATTGGAGGACCTGGAATGTGTCATTGCATCGAGGCAGAGGAGGGCAGGCTAGCAGAAATTGTTGAGGAAGAGGAGAGGGCAGGCTAGCAGAGATTCTTGATGAGGAAAACCATTAATGCGTAGTCACCACCTCATCTCCACCCTGTTGCAGCTTGTCCTCAAACGACACGTCGATGCGGCTGGAGGAGCACGCCTAAATATTCAAATTTTGACGCCTAAAACTCAAAAACGAGGTTTTTGCCGGGCTACCGTACCTTTGGGCCAGGGTCGCTGGAATGGGCGGCTGCCGACGAGATCGGGATGGCGTCCGAATCTTTTCGAATTTGATGTGAAGTTGTGGTAAGCTGAAAATACGGTAGAGTACCTTTCAGTACGACAAAATACAGTAGAGACGTTGCCGTACGTTGCAGTACGGTGGCGTACGGCGCGGTACGATGAAGTACGTCACCGTACGGTACGGTGCGGCTGTGTATAACCAAGTACGACACAGTATGGTACGGCAGCCGTACTATGTTGTGTACGTTAGAATCCGCTACCGTACGCTACCATAACTTGGAAAAGCTTCCGTACAACAAAATCCGATATAGTACGTTTTGGTACGGAGGCGTACGACATAGTGCGATAAAGTACATCACCGTACGGTACGGCATTCCAAACTCCACAACGCGAGTTTAACGACTTACCGTATGCGTCGTGCCGGGACCCCCGAGGTTTGCCGATCGGTATACGGTAGGCGAGAGGAGCTGGCCGGGGAATACGGTAGTCCAGCCGGAAGTGGTTGCAGAGCTGTTCTAAAAAGCAGAGGTAGGGCAGGCTGGAAGGGATTCTTGAGGAGGTCAGGCTAGGCTTGGACTTAGGCTGAGGCTTGGGCTTGGCTAGACTTAGGTTTAGGCTTAGACTTAGCCTTAGGCGACCTACCTTGCTCCCCTCGGCTCCTTCAACGGTAGCATTCAGGTCGAGGAGGAAGAGCGCGTTCTGGCGAATGACAGACTCGGGTCGACTGTCAAGTTGGCCACTGGAGAGTCGGAATTCGCGCCATCTGAAAGGGAGAGTGAGAGAGAGAGAGAGCGAGAGAGAGGGAGAGAGTGAGAGAGAGTGGTAAGATACCTCCTGTTCCGTTCCTGTTGATGACCAGAAGGTGTCTGACGCAAATAGGCGGCTCGGCAAGGAGGGCACAGCAGGTACCTGAAGCTCAAAGTTCTCTGCTAGCCAGCCCCTCCACTTCCTCAACAATCTCTGCTAGCCTGCCCTCTTCTCTTCCTCAACAATCTCTGCTAGCCTGCCCTCTCCTCTTCCTCAACAATCTCTGCTAGCCTGCCCTCTCCTCTTCCTCAACAATCTCTGCTAGCCTGCCCTCTCCTCTTCCTCAACAATCTCTGCTAGCCTGCCCTCTCCTCTTCCTCAACAATCTCTGCTAGCCTGCCCTCTCCTCTTCCTCAACAATCTCTGCTAGCCTACCCTCTCCTCTTCCTCAACAACCTCTGCTAGCCTACCCTCTCCTCTTCCTCAACAATCTCTGCTAGCCTGCCCAATTCTCCAAAAAGTCAACTGACCATGTTGAAGGCGCTCGCCCACCCTCGCCGCACATGCCGGCCCACCCGGTGGTGTACTTTCCATGCGAATTATATCCATGGCCCTGGCATTCCCCTCCGCAGCCCGGGTGTCCCATTCGCATGTGAACTAAACCCGAATTTTCAACTTATTTTTTAGAAGTTAAAACGTTAAAAAAATGCGTGCAACCCAGCTGATTAACCTTACAAAATCTATTTAATTTAGTTATATCAGAACCATAAATAATAAAATTAAGCCTATTACCAGTAACGGGCCCTCGGCATCTCCCCTCGCAAAGCTCGCACATCGCTTCGCCGGTCTCCAAAGTGGCCATATCAGGGTTTTGGCTGTGCCTGGAATTTCGGTGTATTATTAAACCATCAAAAATACATGAAATTCGCCATAAATGTCGAATTAATTTTGTATAGAAAAACGATACCTTGGACGGCGGACCGACGGCGGGGAGGGCAGCAGGATATTTTGGTGGATAGTGCTTTGGATCGCGGCGCTGACCTAGAACATTATTATTTTTATATGATGCTCATTATTTTTATTTTTATTTCTCTTATTTGATTGTATTTTTCTTATTTTTATTTCCTATTTACTTCCATAAAATCAAAAATGACAAAAACCCGACCTCCTTCCAGACCTTGACCAACGGCTGTAGCGGGCTGGGCGCCAGCGAGATTGGGGCGGTTTGCGAGCAGGGCCATAGCTGGAAATTGGGGTACTGTAGGTGAGTTTTTAAGACAAGCTAAGCCTAAGCTAAGCCTCAGCTTAAGCCTAAGCCAAGCCTATGCGTAAGTGTAAGCCTGAGCCTAAACCCAAGCCTACGCTTTAGTTAAGCCTAACTTAAAACCACCGTAAGCCAAAGCCTAAGCCTATGCCCAAGCTAAGCCTATGTCAACGCCACAGTCTAAGCCCACGCTGCAGTTAAGCCTGACTTAAGACAAAATCTAAACCCAAACCTAAGGCGAAGCTAAGCTTCACCCTAAGCTAAGCCTAGGCTTCAGTTTAGCCTAACTTAAGACCACACCTAAGCGTAAGCCTAAGCTTAAGCCTAGCCCAGGCTTCGAATGCCGCAAAGCTACCGTAACCTCGAACTACTTACGTTATGTAAATGGCTGTGAAATTTGAGATACGCAGCTGCGGCCATCGCGTCCTTCACGAGATGCTCGTGCCACAGGAAGGCGGCAAAAACTGAAATTCAAGGCTTAGAAAGAGAGAGAGAGCGAGAGAGAGAGAGAGAGAGAGAGAGAGAGAGAGTGAGAGAGATCTACCTGTTCGGCAGCAATCCACAATCGAAGGTCGCATCGCCTTTACCGACGTGGCTGGGGCCCTATAAACCACGTAAGCTAATTTTCAAAACTGGGCGAACTAGCAGAGATTCTTGAGGAAACCCCACCTGACCGGCGTCGGCTTCGACGGCCCGGGTTCCTCATCATCGTTCCCGTTCGAGCTCTGGGCCTGGGAATGCACCGAGGAGCGCCCGACTTGGTCCTCAGCCAAGATGAAGCGCTTCGTGTGGGCGAGCCTGATCCAGACGCCTTGAGCATTGTGCACCCAGCCGTCCGTGAGTAGCTCCCGACGCCCTGGAAAATTGGATTTTACAAAGGATCTCCGCTAGCCTGCCCTCTTCTCTTCCTCAACAGTCTCTGCTAGCCTGCCCCTCACCTTCAACCACTTCCCCATCGACGACAGCGTCAAGGGACGGCCGGCTGAACAGCTCGACCCGGTCGCCGTCCTCGAGAACATACATCTGAGTTTTGGCCTGGATTTCGCAGTTTAGAGCCTACCTCCTGGGTCTCGATCAACACGCTCTGCTCCCCGGCACGCTCCATCGATTTTTGCATCTCGACGCTCTCCTGGCGCTGACATTCTTCTTTCGGGGAACGAACAGCTTCGACAAGTCGGATCAGTTCTCGGTCGAGGGCTTTGTGGAATTGTAGGCACCAGGCCTGAAAAATAAATGTTGAGGCAGGCTAGCAGAGATTGTTGAGGAAGAGGAGAGGGCAGGTTAACAGAAATTGTTGCTGAATTCGACCGCTACCTGCACATGTCCATGTGGCGCCTCTGCATGCAAGGCACTCGTCTCCTCCGTAAGTCGCAGCCATTTCCCGTCCACATTTTCCACCTCCTCGATGAACGTCAGGGTCGAGCCTGAAGAAATTCCTCAAAAATCTCCGCTAGCCTGCCCACCTCTTGGCAAGAAGCCGACGATCTGGGCTGTCAAGGAAGGGGAATTCCGGATGCGGACAGCTTGAAAAGGGGCGGTAGCCTGGATGCTGGCGAGCTGGGCTCGGGAGAGCTGCGCGACACGGTGACGGCCCTTCTTTCCCTCTTGCTTGTCACCGCTTTCGACTACCTGAAAAAACGTAGGTTAGGCTTAGGCTTAGGTTTATGTTTAGGCTTAGGCTTTGGCTTTGTAACAAACCTCGACAGTGTAACATTGCGGAAGTTGGAAGCCGTCAACGCGACACTCGACTCGGTAGGTTCCAGGTTGGCGCGGGGTCCAATCGCCGGAGAAGCTAGAATTGGAATAATCTATCTCACTCCCTCCCTCTCTCTCTCTCTTTCTCTCTCTCTCTCTCACCTAAACCCGTTCCTAGGCTGCAACACGATACACTCCCTCGAGATGGCGTCCCGGAAGAAGCCGAGCCTAAAAAGACCCCATTTTCAGGGATCGTACCAGAAGGACCGACCTGAGCTCTTCCTGGCTGAAGCCGGAATAAGCGGGCATCACGCAGATGGAGGTGTAGCGCGCCTTGTTTAGATACATCGGCTGGTAGGGGTTCTAAAATTCGTAAATAACCTCTGCTAGCCTGCCCTCTCATCTTCCTCAACAATCTCTGCTAGCCTGCCCTACCTGGAGCATCATCTGAAGGGACGGCAAGTTGTCTAGGGATCGAATTGCGTCTCCGCGCGTAGAATCGCTGCTACTTCCGCCAATTTGGACCGAGATCTGAAAATCGTTTTTTAGGGACTGGCAAGTTAAGGGAGAGAGCGAGAGAGAGAGAGAAACAGAGAGAGAGAGAGAGAGAGAGAGGGAGAGAGAGAGGGAAAGAGAGATTGACCTCGAT